TGCAGTGATATACTGTCACACACACACACACACCCTCTTCACCCGATACTTGTGTGGTAGGCGGCTCGCCCCCTTCCCGTCCCCCCCCCGCCGGCCATTCGACCTTCTTTCTTTTTTAGCCCATGTTGGATCGTTTTCACGGATAAAGCGTAATCATTCGTCTGTTGGCCCCGGTAAGCGTGCGCCGCCAACAGATTAGAGATGCCCTCCCTCCTGACGGTCAACAACAACGTCTCCCTCTCCCTCGTGAGCATCACCGTCACACCGAGTACGTACCTGGCCAGCCTCATCGTAGTCCTGGTCGTCGTCCTGTCCCTCTACATACTTCCTCGGTTCCCCGCTTCGGCCCGGTCCGTACCCTCTTCCCTCGCCAGGCTTCCCGGCAAGGTTCCTCAATTCCTTTCGTCTGTACAAAAGCAGTACTGGCCCCTGTTATCTGGTCAGCAGCAACAACAACAACAACAACAACAACAACAACAACAAGACAGCAGCAGAGCGCTACCCGCCCCTCCGACGGACGGCGAGAACGATTGCTACTACAGCGAGCGAGCCCTGATCTTTCAGGACCAGTCGCCCATCCTCGTCTCGCCGGCCGAACTGTCCAGCTACTACGCCAACCTGCGCTCCCTGCCGGGACCGGTCGAGGCCGCAGCCGCGGCAGCCACGGCAGCCCGCCATGAACGAGACAGTCGACGGTCTAGACGTCTCCCTCCAGGACTTCGAGCCGCCGCCGAGTCCAGAGTCCCTCCGTCATCGCTCGGTGACACCCAGCGATCCGGGAATGACAGAGGCAGGGTTAAACGAGGAGGAGGAGGAGCTGGGGCTGGAGCGGGAGCCGGAATTGCGTCCGGATCCGTTTCTGGATCCGGATCCGGACGGCGACGACCATCTTCTCCGGGACTCGGAGACCGGTTCCGCAGGTGGATATTCACCCCCGGCGTGGCGGAGGCTCGCCAACGGAGGTCGCAGCAGCGGCTTCTGGACAAGCAATCCTCCCGCTGAAGGCGTGCCGCCCCTGTCGCCGTACAGTCATCTCGTCGACCGCCTCCCCACGTCCGTCTCGCGCGAGACCTCGCCATTCTCCGTCGACGGTGACCAAGACCCGGACGAGGCCGCCGGGTACGCATATGACGACGGCATCTTGCAGAGGGCCATGCGTACCAGGTTGCCCAAGGGCAGTCAGAGCCCCGAAAGGACGCGCCAGTCCACCCCCGACATCAAGAGGGAGGTGGACGTCAAGATCGAGGAGGATGCAGTGATGCCGGCGGAAAAGAGAGGTCCAAGTGCCACTCCGGAACCTCTGACGGATAACTGTTAGTGTTCTCATCACTTCCTTCCTTCCTCTCTCTCCTCTCTTCTCCTCTCCTCTCACAAGTGCTCATCTGACCGAGGCGAGTTTTTTTCTTCCTTTTCCTGTAGATATCCGCTTCGCCATCCGCGCCGAAGTCCAGCAGCGTACGGAACCGATCGAGGCGGCCATCTCGTTCGTCCGCATGAAGTACACCGCCATGACGGCCACGTGGTCGTCTATCATCTGCTCCATCCTGGCCGCCCTGGTGGGCGTGTCGCTGATGAAGGCGCTGATGCAGCCCGCCGCGACGAGGCCTGCGGGGGACCTGGTCAAGGTGGCCGGCGTGGCCCGGTCGTTCGAGCCGCTAATATACTACTCGGAGCATGCCATCATCCAGGTCCACGACCTGCAGGCTACGAGCATCGCCGTCTGGGATCTAAGCGAGAGCGTGAGGGCAAGCGACATGAAGGACGCCACCAGCATCATCAACGATCTCGACGGTCTGAGCGAGACTATGAAGACGCTTGCCGAGGAGATGACTCGATTCTTATCTCGTGTGGACGGCGATATGGACGCGTATGTATATCTCTTTCCTCCCCTTTTCTTTTCTCTCTCTTCTCTTCTTCCCAACAACTCCCGCAGAGGAGAGAGAGTGAGACAGAGAGAGAGATGGCTCTGACAGAGTGAATGAAGCGTCCTCAACGTCATGGACTGGGCCAGGTTGCACCTCGAGCGGTTCCAGAGCACCAAGAATCCTTCCACCCTATCGTCTGCCTACGACAACATGCACAACCTCCTCTCCCGGACGCACATACTGGAGGAGCCGTCGGGCGCCCCGACGGCCCTGGGGTCCCTGGCAGGCTTCGTCTTCGGGTTGTCGACGCCGCAGCGGGAGCAGCGCGTCGTGCAGACCATCTTCCACGAGTTCCTATCGGTGCTGGAGGACTCGATCCAGTCGGAGCTGCACCACTCGCTCGCCCTCTTCGCCCTCTTCGAGACGGTGGACCGCCACCTGTTCAACCTGGTGCGCACCGTGGCGCGCGAGTCCTCGGCCCAGGAGGAGCTGCACGCCGACCTCCTGTCGGGCCTGTGGGCCCGGATCCTTGGCCCCAGGTCCGCCGACGTCCGCAAGTTCGAGCGGAACCGCCTCCTGCTGCGCGACGTCCGCGACAAGACGGTCCGCAACAGGGGCATCCTCGAGGACCACAACACGAAGCTCCTCGGCCTCAAGGCCTCGCTCGAGGGCCTCCGCGCAAAGCTCGTCTCCCCGCTCGTCAGGGGCGCCAACGCCACCACCCTCTCCCTCGAGGACCAGATTCGCGGCATATCGGACGTGAGCTCCCACCTCGGTGACATCCGACGCCTCCAGAAGTCACGCGTCATGGAGTCCATGTTCGCCACCGTCCCCGGTGATCGCAGGCTGCTCATCGAGCAGGACGTCTGGAAAGATAATCCTGACAAGCCAAACTGAATACCCACCACTTTCTGTCTCTTTCTCTCTCTCTCTCTCTCTCTCTCTCTGTGTGTGTGTGTGTATGTGTGTCTCTCTATTTCTCTGACTCGGGGGGAGTGGTTTTCTTTCCTCTTTCTCTTTTTGCTATATACGACGGAATGGTTGGAAAGGCGTTCTTATTCTCGAGCCTCTCGTCCTTTTTTTCTTGTTTTTGTTTCATACACACCATACCGTTATCCGGGGAATTGCTGTCTGGGAGGCTTTCTGGCTTGGTCGTTACATCAAGGTGCAACGAACCTACGTACATTCGAATTTACAAATCAACAATTCACTTCAAACTACTGAGTCTTGTTTCGCATGTCTTATGTAAAGTACAATGATTAAAGCAAGGTCAAGATATGACTTGACTACATCACACACAAGGAACATCTCGTAACCATACTTTTTTATATTGAATGTGAAAAGCACCCCCCTATTGGAAAAAATAAAAAATAAAAATAAAAAAGATGACCATAAAGCAGCTCCCATATGCCTGTAAAGAAAACGAGAAAAAATCAAAGTGGTCATTTTGGGGGGTATCGACCAACAGGCGGCTGCAGACATAAAGAAACCATATAAACCCTTTGCGACCCTCAACGCCTTCCGTAAGGTGACCTTGGCCCATGAACAGCAAATCTTTTCCTTCCTTGCAGCCCATCTTCCCAAGCCCCTTTCCATAAAATGAGAAAAAAAAGGAAAAGGGGACAGAGGAGGTTTAGATCGTGAAAAACCTCTTCCCCGTAGCCACCGTGTGTCAACCAGAACTTTTGTGTTTCCCCTCCTTTCCTTCCTTTCAACCCTTCCTGAGAAAAGTTCTGAAAAAAAAGAAGTCTATCCGTAATATTATTCGCAAGTCATCGAACAAAATAAAAAGAAATTCGTGTACCACTGATGCACGTCCATGACTTCGGTCCATTGATGGCGCTGGCATCATGGTTTTCATGGTCGCCCTCAAGGCACGTCGCCACAGTGTATCCCGAGTTATCCTTCAGTTAGGTCATGACAAAAAAAAGAGATAAATAAATCATACGAGTACCAAGGAGATGGCGAGGGAGGCGACAATGACCGCGTTTAAGCCTTTGTCTCCTCCTCCTTCTTGGGCTCGACGCCCTGTCCCTGGGACTTGACGTAATCGTCATAGACGGTAATGGCCTCGTCGATCTTGGCCTTGAGAGCAATGTCGTCCTCGAGACTATGAGTTTGTCAGTACAGTGAGCGTCGTAAAGAAAAGGTACATAAGTTTTGCGGTTGGAGTTCAGGGGTAGAACGTACAGGCTGACAAGCTCGGCGTTGTCCATCTCCAGGAGCATACCAGTGATCTTACCAGCAAGATCGCCGTTGACGGCTTGAATCTTGGGGAAGAGCATCTCACCCAGCATCTGCTTCTGCTGAGCGGGCGCAGCGCCAGCAATCTGAGCCTGGATCACCGAAGCGGGAGAGGCATCGCTGCCACGGCCGCCCTGGTTGGAGGCACCGTTGCGGCCACGACCAGGGCCCTGGCGGTTGTTGGGAGGGAAGCCCGACATGCCGGGCTGGACGGGAGGAACGCCACCAGGGACGCCGCGGCCGCCCTGGGGAACGTTACCGCGGCCACCAGCCATGGCCTGAGCCTGCATGGCGGCCATGAACTGTGGGGTGCCGGGCTGTCCGTACTGGGGAGGGAACTGGCCGGGCATGCCGTAGACGTTGGGGGGTATCTGCTGGGGGACACCGCCACGGCCGCCCTGGGGGTAGCCGGGGAACTGACCGGGGCGGCCGCCCTGCTGAGGAACGCCCATGCCGGGCTGGGGGAAGGGCATGCCGCGACCACTCTGCTGGGGCATGAAGCCGGGCTGCTGGCCGGGAGCGTAGAAGACGGGGGGTTGCATGAACTGCTGGGGCATGCCGGCAGCGGCGGCGGCCTGCTGCATACGCAGCTGGTTGCGGGCCTGGATGCTGGCCTCGAGCTGGCTCTTGCGGACATCCTTACGCTGGGCGAGGGCGACGTAGAGGGGCTTGCCGTTGATCATGCGCTGGTTCATCTCGGCAACGGCCTTGGTGGCATCGTCGGGGTTGCTGAAGCAGACAAAACCGAAGCCCTTGCTCTTGCCAAGCTTCTTGTCCGACTTCTTCTCGTCGTCCTCCTTGGTCTCATCCTTGGTCTCATCCTCCTTCTTCTCTTCCTTGGGGGCCTCGGGATTCTCCTTATCGGAGTCATCCTTCTCTTCCTCGCCGCCCTCGGTAAGGGAGTCCCTCATGACCTTAGCAGAAGTGATGGGGCCGAATTCAGCAAACATCTGGCGCAGCTTCTCATCGTCAACGTCGTCATCAAGGTTTTTGATGTACAGATTGACGCCCTGGTACTTGCTGGCCTTCTCGAGGCGAGCAGCCTCGTACGACTTGCGGAGCTCCTCCTCGCGCTCGTGCTTCTTCTGGGCACGGCCGACGTAAAGCTCCTGGCCGTGGAGGTCCTTGTTGTTGAGCTCATCAACAGCCTTGTAGGCACTCTCGTGGGTGGTGTAGTTAACGAACCCGAAGCCGCGGCTCTTACCGTCCTGATCGCGGGCCAGGGATGACGACGTAACGTCGCCGTACTTCTCGAAGAGTTCACGGAACTCATCGTCGGTGACCTCAGGGCTGATATTCTTGACATAGACATTGGTGAAGTTGGCCTTCATCTCCTCAAACTTGCTCTGGCGATCCTTCTTGGGGATGTGAGGACCGACGAAGACCTTCTTCTCGTTGAGAAGCATACCGTTGACGTGCTTGATGGCCTGCTGGGCAGCCTCATCAGTCTCGTAGTGGACGAAACCGTAACCCTTAGAGTTGCCGTTCTCATCCTGGGCAACCTTGCAGCTCAGGATGTTACCGAAGGCGGCGAAGGTGTCGTGGAGAGCCTTGTTGTCAATGGCAACATCGAGGTTCTTGATGAAGACGTTGCCCTGGCCGGTCTTACGAAGGGCGGGGTCGCGCTGAGACCACATGATGCGGCAAGGGCGGCCCTTGACAACAGTGTAGTTGAGCTCCTCGAGAGCCTTCTCACCGTCGGCAGTCGCGTTGTAGTTGACGTAAGCGTAGCCGAGGGAGCGGCGGGTAACGGCGTCACGGCAGACACGGATCGAGGCAACAGCTCCCATTTGGGAGAAGAGCTCGAAAAGCATAGCCTCAGTGACGGAGGGGTCCAGCTCGCCGACGTAGAGGGAGGCCGAGTTCTGGGGGTGAGGGGTAGCCGAGCCAGGGGCAGCGGCAGCATCGTCGGAGACAGAGGCGTTGGCGTCAACGGGAGCCTTGACCTCGCCGCCGTTGAGCGAGGTGTTGTTGAGGTCACTGGCAAGCTGGTCAACAGCGCCGGTGGAAGGGTTAGCGGCCATTTCGAAGGTATTCGTGAGAATTCGACGGAACTGATGTTTGAATGTCTGGTCAGTGGGTCATGGTCATCAACAGTCAGGATTCGAAGTGGCGGTGGGACATACCGAGGCAGCGAACGCAGGAAGGAGGGGTAAAACCGGGCTGCAAAAGGGAGACGGTAGACCGCAATGAATCAGTTAAGAAGAAAGAAAGTCTCGAGAACCGACGCAAAGTGGACTCGAGGAGGAGCAAATTTTTCTTTTGTTTGTATGATGTTGGGTGGAAGAAGATGGAGGGGGGAAGAGTGATGACACAAGAGTCAGTGAAAGGATCTTGAAAAGGGGTTTTTTGGGGTTTTCAATTTTTTTTGGTGATTTTCTGGGTGAAAAAGTGAGCAATCTGAGAGAACAAGCACGAAGACCGTCCCTCTAAACCGACTCGACTTGATTTTGGGAGGTTTGTGAGAACGTTGGTGATAAGGTTGGGGTTGTGGGAGGAGAGGAGAGAAAATTCGTGCGAGATGGGCATAATTTTTCCTTAGCGGGAGGGCGGTGGAGCAGGCGTCGCCCACCTGGTGGCTGAAGTGTGTCACCTGTGGCTGATACAGAGATACTTGTGTTTAGGGCATATTTACGCACCCGAGTCAGGTCACTCATACCTGATTTCGCAGGCAGTCACCACCACTGCTTGGCACCTGCCAACATGAAAATCATGAAATTTACTGTGGTCGTGTGAGGAGCACTGGGCAGGAAAACCCGATAGCCTGGATCCTGTACCTGTGCTTTGTGGGACTTAACACTTTTACACCAAGTTTTGGTTGGTTTCTGTTAACAGTGCAGAATCTTGCCATCCTTTGTTCCGCCCATTCATTCAATGATTAGTGATGGATATTTTTTTGATGCTCATACGACGAGTACCATTTTATTACAGCACGAACCCCGTAGTAGTAGTGGCTGCTTCTAGTCGCTTCTTTTCACCACCACCATTACCACCACTACCACATGTACCACTACTAATTATTGCCATTACTACTGCTGCCCTTTTTCGTCGCCATACGGGAATAATACCATCGATACATCCCCAGGTCAGAACAAGGTGAGGCTGCTTAGTAATGTAACAAAGATTGAAAATGTCGTGAAGGTTTTACGATTACAGCGATAGGTTTGATTCTCGCCATCGGATATAATCACCAATAATCACGGGCAATATTACAGAATATTCCTGGTGGTTGTGTATGACATATTAATACTCGCACCTTCTACAAAACAAGGGCCTGACCTTTATCTTATCAGAGAATGTGGGTCTCTCGTCTGACGGCTTTGGACTCTGTGCTTTGGCCTGACTGACCTCATCCCATTCCCCACCGCCGTCGCCAGGCAGAGTACACCACCACGTATTCGTACCTGTTACTCACCCATACTACATTCCCTCAAGCACTATTGCCGGCCCTTGGCTTCTTTCTCCAAATCTTCCTACGAGTCTTACTCTGACATAATATATCGTCCATTAGAAGCACTGTGCCCGAGTACATATTTTACCAACAACAACGTTCCCGGGGGCAAGTTGCCTTTATGCAGCTGTTGTCAGACACCGACCCGACACCATGTTCTCGACCTTCACCGGCAGCTCCCGCCGTCCCCGGAACGTCAACTTAAGCGGCCAGACAGGGAACCCATTCACAAACACCTCGTGGTCCCCGTCGTCGGCCTCGAATTCTAACAAGAGTGTATCGGATGCCCAGGCCGATCGTGAACGACGACAGACAGAACGCCAGCGCCTGAAAGCTGCCGGCAGCATCCAGCGTACATGGCGGGGTCATAGAGAGAGGCAGAGGTTGGCTGAGCTCCGACGGACAAGCTTTGATCAGCTCTTCGACCCCCGAACCCACAGTCTACCATCCAAGAGGCTCCCTTCAGCTTTCAACCTGCTCCTCTCCTTCTTTACGGCTCGTCGAAATGATGATATCCAGCGTCTAGCGGCCTTTGTCCGAGACTGCCGTGCTGTTGACGTGTCTGAGATCCCGCCACCTAATGCGCACTCATCACGCATCCCCCGGTTCCTCCATCTGCTCGTCGAAACATTGAATAGGGTTGTTCCAGAAGCGTATGTCTCCCCCCCACTGGTCACGCTGGCGGGTCTAATGCTGACTGGTCACGTTTACATAGTCCTGACGGTGCCCAAGAGCCGTTCGACATGTTCGAACTGGCCGCTCGGATTATAACCGTATACCCTGGCACAGTATCAGAGTCAGTCTCCGGTTACTACTCTGCATTGGCAGGCATCTTCCGCTATCGTGATCTGGGCGAGCAGTCGTTGGCATGGCTTGCCGATATGTTTGCAGCGCCACTCAAATCAGCTTCAACCTCAGGCAAGTTTCCTACGCGCACGCTCACACGGCAACCCATATATTAACACCAAAATAGAGCTCGAACCACATGTTTACAAGGCCATTGCCTTCCAGTTTCTTGCCGCCAAGGACTTGCATATTTTCGAGAGCAATATTTCCCGTTATTCGACAATCATCGACCCCCATAGACTTTCATCCGTCATATTGGACTGTTATACAGGCAACGCAGGTCCTGACAATGATAGTCTTCTCTGGCTGCTAGCCCATTATATCCACTTCGGCTCCGCTTCGGGGGTTGGCCAACATGTTCTTGACTACCTGGAAGCCCTTTACGTGCAGCTGGCTGCGCTGTCAACAGAAATCAGCATCCGCCTTCGACAGCCGGCCGAGCAACCACCAGAGTCGGCATCGAATGATACAAGAGTGACACTCTTACACCCATATGTTAACCAGCAGCTTCTGTCACTGGTTGACGCAGATGGGATATCCAAGCTTTTGCGAGGGCTGTCTCATGAAGCCGTCACGGAATCAGCATCGCACATGCGGCAGGGGACGAGTCTGTTTGCTGGTTATACATCAACTCTCTTGATCTGCTTTCCGAATCAAGCTGATGATATACGAATGAGACTATTCCTGACAACTATACCCACACCTGAAGGCGAGTTGCCCACAACCAAATATCTTTGGAACGACGTACGCCAGACTGTACTGTTTCGAAAGTTGGTGACGGAATCGGAACGAGCTGTTGATGTTCTACGCAATTACGTCCACGGCCCTCCGAACTCGGCCAAGGGCACCTCGGAAGAGCGGGAGTGGCGCTCGATCTTCATGTTCCTTGAACTGTACATATTTGTCTTGCGACTCAGCGATGATGACGACTTTTTCAGTGGCATGACTCCCAAGCTCCTGGACGATGGCCAACCCCCTTCTCGTATCAGGGCGTGCAGTCTCTCTCTAGAGGACCTGAAGCTCTTGACTACATTTCTCAAAAACACAGCCTTTGCACTTCATTACAAAGCCCGAGAAATCACACCGAGACATTTGGACCTCGAAACGTCACTCGTCATCTCTCGCCTAGATACATACCTGGGCTCTGGTGTTCAGTCCTCGTCGTCAGCCTCTACGCCTTCTGCTACAGAACTAGCTGGATCTACAAGGTTGAGCCTAGGTAGCCTGAAAGACCTTCTGACAATGGCAATGAAGATGCTCTATGAAAGAGACTCCCGAAAACAATTTCTGCCCAGCGGTCACTGGTTGATGACGGACAAGTTGGAGAGAGAGGATTTCATAGCAGCCGTCATTGCGGAGGATGAACGACAAAGGCAAGAGGACGCTACAGACAGTGATGACGATAGTGACGAAGATGAAGTCGCACCTTCTGACTTCTTCCCCGGCAGCCGGATGGGTCCTAGAGGGGGGTTGGTTGCCAACAGCCAAGCAACTGCCTATGCCAGGGTGGAAAGGATGAGGCAAAACCAGAAGCGACTTCAGAGAGAGCGTCGGTTGGCAGAGATCGGACCGAAACTGGAGATCCTGAAGAACATGCCATTCATCGTGCCGTTTGAGACGCGTGTCAAGATGTTCCGCCAATTCATCACACTGGATCGTGTCCAGAGGGCATCGAGACCCGGAATGGAGGATAGGGTCATCATGTCTTCGTTTGGGCCCATTTTGGCGCCGGCCAAACACGATGCGAATATACGAAGAGGCCAACTGTTCGAAGACGCTTTTGAGAACTTTTACAAGATTGGAGATGGACTGAAAGACCCAATCAGCATCACCTTTATCGATCAGTTTGGCACCCCTGAGGCCGGTATCGATGGAGGCGGTGTCACCAAGGAGTTCCTCACTAGTGTGACGGCCGAGGCTTTTAGCCCTGGTAAGGACGGTATACAAATGTTTACTTCGAGCGAGAAGGGGCTTCTATATCCCGAGCCTGCTGCAGTGGATCAGCTTCGTGAGGTTCTGCACTCGGAGGGGCTTACGGAGTCGGAACCTCAATGGCGAGAGGCGATGACAACGCTACTCCGTCACTACGAGTTCCTGGGCCGTATAGTGGGCAAGTGCCTCTACGAGGAGATACTAGTCAACCTGTCGTTTGCTGGCTTCTTCCTCCTCCAGTGGCCCTCGACGGGGCCGGGACAAAGCAGCACGTATAAGGGGAGCGTCAACGATCTGAGGGACATGGACGAGGACCTCTACAAGGGAATGGTGAGGCTCAAGAACTACGCGGGCGACGTGTCAGATCTGGGACTTGACTTCAGCATCAACGACGAGATTTCGCTGCCGAATCAGCCCGTCAAGACAGTGACGAGGAACTTAGTTCCAAACGGTGAGAACGTCCCGGTAACCAACGACAACCGCTTGCTGTACATCTCCTACGTGGCCCGCCATCGCCTGGTGAACCAGCCGGCTCTCCAGACATCAGCATTCCTCCGAGGTCTCCGGCAGATTATCCGACCGTCGTGGCTGTCCATGTTCAACCAGTCGGAGCTCCAGCGGCTGGTAGGGGGCGACTCGTCGGAGATCGACCTCGAGGACCTCCGACGCAATACTATGTATAGCGGTTTGTATGTGATTGGCGACGACAACAAGGAGCACCGGAGCATCGAGCTGTTCTGGAAGGTCATGAGGGGATTCACGGACCAGGAGAAGCGCGAGGTGCTGAGGTTCGTCACCTCGACGCCCCGGGCGCCACTGCTCGGCTTCTCGCAGCTCAGGCCCTTGTTTACTATACGGGATAGCGTCTCTGGTCTAGATAAGCTCCCGACGGCCAGTACCTGCGTCAACCTTCTCAAGCTGCCACCTTACAGAACGGAGGAGGTGATGAGAGAGAAGCTCTTGTATGCTATCACATCCGGGGCTGGATTTGATCTTAGCTAAGCTGAGGACAAGTGCATGCTCCACTGGTTCCTTTTTTTTAGTTTTTTTCACGCAGCGATGAATATGATGGGAAGTATGACTACCGCAGGTAGCGTGAATATGAAATAAGATAATTTATTCAGAGCCTTTGTCCGTGTCTGTTCCAGCTGCTTGGTCTACTGGTAACTCTTGGCCAGAATCTCTGGTTTACGATCAGCTAGATCAAGAATCATTTGCCCAAAAAGACCATTTGCCCATGCGAACCTTGTTTTGTTTTTCACCAGTGTCAACAGGAAGGGGTTTTTTTTATAAGACGAATTAGAGAAAGATGAATTACTTACCAAGGGCGAGTATAGTCCGTCTCATTATGGCTATTGACAGACTCATGAATCAGGCCAAGACCGCTGGTAGACGCCAGGATCTGCCTGATTCCCTGGACGATCTCATCATCGTCGTCAGAGGTCATGATCTGCATGACGACACCCATGGGCCACCCCTTGCCGGGGCCGAGGTGGGGACCGCCGGTGGCATTGATGATGGGGCCGTAGGCGTAGTACGGGTTTGACTTGCTGAGGACGAAGGCCCGAGTGTTTCTATAGACGGGGTCCGTGACGGGCTTATAGCCCAGGTGGGGGATGCTCAGGAGGGAGGGGATATTGGCGTCGTCCTGGGGGAGTGGGGGGTTCATGTTAGTCTATGAAGGTATCGTTACATCATTATCTGAAAAAAGTGGGGGGGAGATGAAGAAGAAGAAGAAGAAGAAAGAAAAGAGACAAAAAGAAAAGGGGGGTTGAGGAGGGAACAAGACTAGAAACACACCATCAGGTTGAAAGATCCAAACCCGTCAACCTCAAAGGCATAAACGTTGCCAAACTGAGGGTGTGTGACGATGGCGTGATCCTCTATAGCCTTGCGGATAACGCGGGCCAACTCCCTCATCTCGGCAGCCATGTCGCCATCGATGGTGTCCATGATCTCGGCCGAGGCACCGACGAACTGGGCGAACATCATGTTGCCCGGGACGAAGTACTGGTATGTGCATGAGTCGTCGGAGGGGCGGAAGAAGCTGCGGACCAGGCCGGTGCCGCCGCCGACGGGCGAGCCGGCACCGGAGTTGGGCACGTTTTCGGTGGCGGTGGTGGCCTGGCGAGCCCACGTGTAGGGCGACTCGTTGACGGACCCGTCGTCGGCGTACGTGCCGGCCTGGAGGTCGTAGGCGACGTCGAGGACGGTGCGCACGGCCTTGCTCCAGCCGAAGCGGGAGAAGAAGGCGGCATCGCCGGTGCCGTGGTAGTAGTCCCAGCTCAGCTGGAAGAAGGCGGCGAGGGAGTCGATCTCGTACTTGCACTCGAAGACGAAGTCCGGGTCGTAGGCGGGGCGGACGGTGTCGCCGTCGGCGTGGTCGGCCTGCGGGGCGAGTCCCGACTCGGGCGGCGGCTGAAAGGCGTTGCAGTAGGGGCTCCGCGTCATGTAGCGGGCCTGGAGGTTGATGGCTCCCCTGTAGAGGCTTGCGATGCGCTCGTTGCCCAGCGCGAGGATGGCCTTGTACGATTGGAGCTGGTTGGCGCTGTCGCGCATCCACATGGCGTTGATGTCGCCCGTGATGATGAAGGCGAGCTCCTCGTCGGCGTCGTCGGCCGACGCGCCCGTCCAGCGCACCGTCGTGTCCAGCGTGCTGGGCCAGGTGTTGGCGAAGAGCCGGTACAGGTCCGGGTCCGCGATGGTCCGGTTCATCGCACGGCTTATCACGGCCTCGGCCTCGTCGACCTTGTAGGTGCGGCACTCCTCGCTGGGCCGCTGGGAGGGGAACTCGTGCACCCCCGACGAGAAGGGGGCGTGGCGCTCGGACGAGTAGTCCAGGTAGTCTGGACAGCCTGCGGCGGCAGCAGCAGCAGTAGTAACCGCGGCCGTGCCGGCAAGATAGCTGGTAAGACGCACCATCTCTGGCAGGTGAGATGAGGAGGATTTCTCTGAGGAGACGGAGGGTGAGAGAGAGAGACAAGGGAGAGGAGAGACAGGTCCAGATATGGATGGACGTCATGCTTGATCGACACTGCTTTATACATACATGACGCCGCCCCCCCTTCTCCTACGCCACGTCGTCCCGATGAGCATACGTAGACGGAGAATAAGGGTCACATTGCTCTTTTGCACACACACACACCTCTCGATTCGTATTGTGCGGGGAAAGGGGAAGGATTGAGGGGTAAACAGGGGAGCGGAGGAGGGCAGCCACGGGTAAATAGAAGAGAGAGAGAGGGAAAAGGCTTGGTGGTGGGCTCTTTTGTTGACGAGGGTGTCCCGAAGGGTAGTGGTTTCGGGCTGATCATTCCTTGACTTGGTCCGAGACACGGCCATCCCAAAAGTAGAGTGCAGAATATTTCAGGGCTACTACTACTCGTCTTCTTGTCACCTGACGATCAGCGTTCTCCCCGTGGATACGGTTATATGCAACGTTAAGATGGGCACCAATCCCAGAGAACGAACGGTGTGGTCGGGGGATGAGGATGGCCGTCTCCATGCGGACAGCGCATTGTGAAATTTCCACCGCTTGAGTATGACGACGGTCATGCACGTACATACATGAGATGGGAGAAGACTGGAGAGACCAGATCAACAGAGAGTGTCGGTCGGCTCCAGAAGTACGGATACCATCAAAATATCATGTTTGCGGGGAAGTTGATGATCGACCAACCGTTTACTCTGGCTCAGTGCCGGGTAAGGAGGCGTGGAGGGGCATGAGAGGAAGGAGCAGGCTCCAGACGAAGTTGCCTGATTGGCCACTCTTCTTCCCTCACTCTTTCTCTCTCTCTTCTCTCTCTCTTCTCTCTCTCTTCTTTCTCTCTTCTTTCTCTCTTCTTTCTCTCTCTTCTTTCTCCCTCTCATTTTCGCGGTCAGTTCACAAATCCGTATTGTCACGGAATACTGAAAGTATTCATTCCAGGACTACACAACAATCTGTAATAGATACTGGGAAAATGATTGGTTGATTGCGAGAAGCCGATCGTCAGCACGCATCGAGCCCATCACGCGCCGGGTTCGGAAGTCTTGAGTCCCACGAACCCTATTGCTGTAGAGCCATCGAGGGCAAGAGTGGGCGACGAACGGAGCATCATCGCTGCGCAATCTTACTCCGTTCAGGGAGAGTGGGCAGGAGTGGGCGATGCCAATGGCTCCCGAGCTAGCCTACGAGAGGTCATCATGTCATGACCATGTTACGGAGGATGACACTGGTCCATTTTTGCGGTCTGGACTACTCCGTACTACTCTGTACTCGAAATGCAGGAGTGGGATGGATACAAGGGTGGGTGAGTCTGTCTACACACATGAGAGGTTGCCCTATTATCGGTATCGGTATTAGTTCTAGTTAGTATAAGTCATCAGTAGTATTACTCGTAGCAATGCAATGCAGCAGCACCTCTAGTACTGCAAGGTAATAGATATTACGAGTACGGATGATCCGTAATCTGTACATGTAAATGCAATCGGGTATGTGTACGGACTGCTACTATCCTGACCCAGAGTAATGGTCAATACTAGACCTGTTCAGATGCCAATCGGCTATTACTCATCCGAGAAATGCAGACGCATGCGGGGGAAGCTCTCCCCTCGCATGTGACTGCCTCCAAGGATTCAATCAGGGAATAGACTCGGGACGACAATGGTACCCGTAAGGCAGTCACTGCTTCTCAATCAGATTGACCCCTCTATAACCGCTTCTAGCCTTTTTGATCATGTATGCCACGATACTAATAGCACCGCATCGTACATGATTACGAGCCAGTAGGTAGTAGAGAGTAGAGACATGGCAATACGATAGCTGTATCCGTACTCCGTAGATAGGGATATAATGTTGAATTCACAAGCCATTGAGGAGAATACGGTACCTTGTCCGCCCACTCCAGGAGACTGGCCGGTGAAGGTAGAGGTACCTGTACGGTACCCGCGGGCCATCCATAGAAAACACTCGAGTTTGGAGATAAAAGGTGAGTAATAGCCGTAACCCTCGTGTACTGATCCTTCTCCAGTTCCACACTTTTCTCGTCCCGAGCCCCGGCTACTCGTACGGTCGTACCACAAAGGCCCCCCCCCCCCCCCCCCYYCCCCYCATTAGTACTAAGATTGCTGGTAGAAGAGACCGAGCTGCCATGGCCCGAGGCGACAATTCATAACGTCAGAAGTATAGGCTCGAGCCAATTGCTGGCCAGTTAATTGTCAACCCGTCGCCGGTGCTCTGTTATAGCCAAAAAAAAGAGAGAACGAACCCCGACTTTTTCTTCTCCAACATTTCAGCAACCCACTTTCACCAAGCAGCCCACGTCTACGCCGCGGGAAGGTAGCACAACCGCCTTTTTTTTATCATCCTTCTTCTTATTTTCCTTCTCCTTCTCCTTCTTATTCTTATTCTCATTCTGTCTATTTCTAATTTGCAATCCTTCTTTTTGTTTCCTCGACATCCATGCCAGTGACGGACCGCTGACCGCGCGCCCTCGGTCACGCCCTCACCTCCCCCTCGTCCCCCTCCTCTCACGTATACGATATGGCGTCAACCTCGGTACCCGTGTCACGGTACATCGTGCAACGTAGCAGCCTCAACGGCAGTCGAACCGCCGCATCGACAGCAAGATGGGCGTCGAGAGGACTCACCCGCCCAGTTTCCTACTCAGTCACGCCGCCCACAACCCGCTCAAGATGCTCGCCAGCAATGATAGCCACCATACCCCGTAGCACCAGCACCAGCACCAGCACCAACCCCGCCGCCCCATTCAGCACCAGCTCGAGGCTACGCAGACCGCAGGCCGAGGCCGAAGAAGGGGGGGGGGAGCCCGAAGCATTCGACCCGTCGACTATTGAACGCGAATCGGACGAGGTAGACGTGTGCATCGTGGGTGGCGGGCCGGCCGGTCTGAGCGCCGCCATCCGCCTAAAGCAGCTGGCCAACGAGGCGGGCAACGAGGACTTCCGTGTGCTGGTGCTGGAGAAGGCCGGCGATCTGGGCGCGCACATCCTCTCGGGAGCCGTGATACAGCCTTCGGCCATAGAGGAGCTGATACCGGACTGGCTGGATGAGGGGAACCCGGACCGGTTCGAGCACGCCACGCCCGCGGGGGACGACAAGATGCGCTTCCTGACCAAGACGCTCTCGATACCGATCCCGGCCCCGCCGCAGATGAGCAATCACGGCAACTACATCGTCAGCCTGAACCAGTTCGTCAAGTGGCTGGGCGAGAGGGCCGAGGAGCTGGGCGTCGAGGTGTACCCGGGCTTCGCCGCGGCCGAGGTGCTGTACGACGCGGCCGACGGGTCCGTCAGGGGCGTGGCCACCAACGACCTGGGCATCGCGCGCGACGGCCAGCCCAAGGAGGCCTTTGAGAGGGGCATGGAATTCCACGCCAAGGTCACCATGTTCGGCGAGGGCTGTCACGGCAGCCTGACCAAGCAGGTCATGGCCAAGTTCGACCTGCGCAGCGACAGCGACCCGCAGACCTACGGCCTGGGCATCAAGGAGGTCTGGGAGGTGGACCCGGCCAGGTTCCGGAAGGGCGAGGTGGCGCACTCGATGGGGTACCCGCTGTCCAAGGACGTGTACGGCGGGTCCTTCATGTACCACTTTGGCGACAACCTCGTCAGCCTGGGGCTCGTCGTGGCCCTCGACTACGAGAACCCGTGGATCTCGCCCTACCAGGAGTTCCAGAAGCTCAAGCTGCACCCCATGTTCCGCGAGGTCCTCGAGGGTGGCAGGTGCATCTCGTACGGGGCGCGCGCCCTGGTCGAGGGCGGCTTCCAGTCCATCCCCAAGGTGGCCTTTCCCGGCGGGGCCCTGATCGGCGACTCGGCCGGCTTCGTCAACGTGCCCAAGGTCAAGGGCACGCACAACGCCATGAAGACGGGCATGATGGCGGCCGAGGCGGCCTGGTCGGCCCTGGGCAGCCCCGGCCCCGGCTCCGGCGAGGCCGGTAGCAGCGCCTCCGCCGATGGCACCGTGTTCCTGTACGAGTACGAGGCCAAGCTCCGCGATTCCTCCGTGTGGAAGGAGCTGAGGGAGGTGCGCAACATGCGCCCATCCTTCCACACGCCCCTCGGCCTGTACGGCGGCATCATGTACTCGGGCCTGGAGGCCTACGTACTCAAGGGCCGGACCCCGTGGACCTTCAAGCACAAGCACCCGGACTACGCCTCCACCAAGCCGGCCGACAGGTTCCCCAAGATCGAGTACGACAAGCCCGACGGCGAGATCACCTTCGACATACTCACCAGCGTGTCGCGCACGGGAACCAACCACGAGGAGGACCAGCCTGTCCACCTCCAGGTCAAGGACTGGGACAAGCACAAGGACGAGACGTACCCGGCCTTCAAGGGTCTCGAGAACAGGTTCTGCCCTGCCGGCGTGTACGAGTACGTTGAGGATCCGTCCAAGGAGCATGGCGTTCGCTTCCAGATCAATTCGCAAAAGTGAGTTTCCCTTCTTTCGGCTTCATCATACTCCTGCCATCCTACCGAACAGACACGGAGAGAAGAGAAGAGGAACAAATGAGAAACCGTGTAACTGACAAGGTTACCAGCTGCATTCACTGCAAGACTTGCGATATCAAGGCCCCCAACCAGGATATCAACTGGCAAGTACCGCAGGGCGGGGAGGGTCCCAAGTACTACATGACTTGAAAAGAAGATGGCCGATTTCCTTGTGATCTTCTCTCAGTGATCTTCTCTCATCATACTAGTTTTTTGTCTGTACACATACCACCACGTAAGAAATAACGTTGTTACTTTTCCTGTCAACCCGGATGGAGTTTTTTTTTTTCGGGTAGAGGGGGGGGGGGTTTGGTTTTGGGGGGGGGGGAAAGGAGTGTGTGAGAAGCAAAAAAAGGGAAGGTGTAAATAGAGTAACCGAATTTTAATTTTTTTTGAACATCATCAGCCCCGGTATATCTGTAAGTGAGTGTGGATCTAGGTGTAAATGTGCGAGCGTAGCGAGATCAACTCCCGCTAGAGCCGCCAGAGGAGGCAGAACCTACGAGCGGACATATTGTTTTCATATATTACATGTAAATCGCAGCAGTCTAATCTGCAGATGTGCACTTGAGAGCGCGTAGCGAGGTCAACTTCCGGTAAGGTTGCCGGAGGCAGAAGATGCATCATGTCCACCAGGGACACTGGTTGGTATTTTGCACATAACAGGGGACACTTGCACGATGTCAGTCTTGGAGTCTTGGCCTGCTAATGCTGGAGGAAGAGGAAGCATGCATTCCAACTGATGAGTTGGTGATGCCACGTCAGACGTGGCCTCTGCGGCAAAGCCCTACCCTATATGCCAATATTCTCGTACATGGTAAGGAAGGTGAGAGAACGGGGAAGTAGTACGTTGACTGCTCGTGCGCTGGTGCGAGAAAATGTACGATATTTCCAGCCGGCCTACCGACTACGACGGCTCAACTCCTGTTGGCCTATAATGATGTGACGACGGGTGGGTTGATGATGATGATGGAAGTAGATGTCGACTTTATATGTAGAGTTTTCTCACTGACGTACGAACTGCAAGCCGAGTATGTACGGAGTAGCCGTGGTCGCCGACGTTGGAAGTACTCTCCGTATGTTTAGCGTACACGTAGAAAGAAGCTATACGAAGTACGGGGATGAAAGCCTCAACTTCCAACACCCGAACAATGTAGAAGACAATAATATAGATTGCATTGCACCATTACACGGACTCCCAGTACGAGCTTGGGAGCACGATGAACGGTCCACAACTTGGGAGGGTTCATATCATATACTCGTGGTGTCTGTATCTGTAATCTGTAGATGAATGTAGACCCCGACAACCTCGAATCTCATGTGCCTCGGCCAATATCGCAATCGTCAAGGGAGGCCGGGACGTACCAACGAATAAACATTTATTTATCATCGTACTTGTAATGAATCGAATGTATGACGTGTGGAGCCCAAGCAATACCCGCAACAGGGATGGGACGGATGGATGGGTGGGGCCCAACTCCCCGACTGGTGCTTACTCGTACACGGGTGCTCATGAGAGATAAATTGTTAGTGGGATACTTTGATAAGGATGGACAGGTACCTTGCTGATTGCCCAAAAGCAAGCACACCTTGACGATCTGTGACGGTCAGAATTCCTTTTACTTTTCTTTTTTCTTGTCTTTCTTTCCCTTTTCCCACTCGCCTTTTATATATATGTATACATACAAATACATATATATATATATATTTGGTAATCGGGACGGCTGGGGAAAAGGAGGCGTTTATTTTTCCGAGAAAAGACAATAGAAGCCACGGCGCAGATGTAATAATGAGAAAAGTCTTGCTCCCGCGCATATGCATGCCCTCTTCTATTCTCTTGTGCAACCCGTGATTCCTCTTTCTCCGTGTCTTGTTGGATTGGAGTCGATGCTCAGCTAACCCCCTCCACCCCAGCCCCCCCAGCCCCAGCCCCCTTACGACAAAGGGTGGGAGTGGAGACGTAATTGAAAACAGCCAGGAAAGGGGGCGATGCCCACAAAAGACCAGCTTCAACCAATGATCTCGACGTCTAGCCCATGATTGCATGACTCACACAGTGGCCACCACCCTCTTCCCTCCTTTGCCGCCGCCAACGGAGCTTGCAAACAAGTTGGAACTCTGATGAGCGGGCGGGCAGCCCAAGGTGTCACCTAGTCGACAAGCAGTCCGGGAGACCGAGCGTTGGCCCTCGGCTGAAGAAGACTGCGAACAAACAAGGATGACACTGTCGCTGCTGTTCCCTATTGTTATGAATGAAATTGCCACCACCGTGTCTGGGGGAGAGGGGGGGGGGGGCTGTTGGTCAGGTATTGAATGAGAGGCAACAGTGAGGGGAGAGACTGCTATCGCGCTCTCATGTCATAGCAAGAAAGAGGAAGAGGAAGAGAGAAAGAGGAGAAGAGTGTGAGAGAAGAGGAGCGAAGGTAAAAATAAAATAAAAATAAAAAATGCAGGGAGATGCAGCAGAGCAGAGGGCCGGATGGCGGAAAGTGTTTCAGAGAATGTGTGAGGCGCGTCTGTGGCTCGTCAGAGAAAAGAAGTACGAGTGATTACTGCGTTATTACTTTGCACGAGTAATATCAGTGTCGTATGGGCAAGAGTCAGTAATAATATATGTACGAGTATCGCATGTGCGTGTATGTCTGTACATGTACGGTATAAAAAAAATACTCGCACCCTGATTCGTATTTCCGACCAGTTGTATTACTTGTACTGTGTATTAACAGGACACATGTGGGACACCGCGCAATGCCATAGCCCCCTTGGCATGTCGCGTCCGGACGCGCATAGGCTCCATAACAATTTCCTCGTCGTCGTCGCCGGGCTACCAACGCTGCCGTCTCGTGTTTGACCGTCAACATCAATCTTCACCCTTTCCATCTCCCCCCCCCCCCCCCCCCCCCCCCCCCCCCCCCCCCCGGTTCAAGGGGGGAAACGGGAAACGGGCTGCGGCCAGTTCCTTCTCCTTCTTCTTCTCTCTTCTTCTCCCTTCATCCCTCTCCTGTCCTCTCTCTCCTAGTCATCATCCGCACGCAGACACAGACACAGACACACAGATACACAGACACACAGATACACAGACACACAGACACGCACACACGCCTGATCTCTCCAACACCAACATCCTCTTTATTTTGCCCGACCATCATGAATCGCCATTCTCCCCCGATACTCTCTGGCATCAGGATATCGAATCAACCAAAAGATCATGATATCACACAGTTTGGGCATATCTCTCCATGATGGGGGGGTATTATGGAAGGGTTTGATCTCCATTTGTGTGTGTGTGCGGCACTCCCCCCCCCTCCCCCCCAGGCTCCAGTGAACCAAATCCCAAATGCCCTGATAGCATGGTACTTCCATCCTACTCTACAGGTACTTCAGGGGTCCATGCTCTCACCTACCCGACCCCCCTTCCAAAAAAAAAAGTGTACTTTCTGGCGCCGTCGGTGGGCACATAAGGGGAGATCAAATTCACCTCTGTCCGGGGACGTGATTGGCTGTAAAATTTCTAGCGTGCCGCGCTAGCTTCCAACCAAAAAAAGGCTTGCCACAGGCGCCACTAAGTCACAGTGGAATGCCTGTGGGAGCCTGTGGCGGGCCTGCTGGCCTCCTGTAGCCCTCCCGCCGCCTCCACTGGCTGTCCTGTTTGCCCCCTGTGCTGTTCTCCGATTATAAGAAGCCCGCCTCCCCCTCCGGTCGCAAGACCTGCGCGCCTGATCCATTTGCTTGGAAGTCCCGACCAAGCCTTACGTACTGTAACCCCCCAGCAGACGTTCGGCCATATTTTTTTTCCGCATCCGTCCCTTGACAACCCACACACTTCGCACATTTACGTGTCATCACATACAACCACTATATTGTGGTTGTGTCTCCACTTTTTACCCTCTCGCTCTCTCTCACACCCCCCCTTCCTTTGACCTTGTCTTGACGACATCATCATCACGAACCTCACTTCTCACGAAGTCCTTTTAGCAAGGGTGGGAAACGGTGCAGTGCACACCTCTTGTCTATACTGCAATAAAAAAGAGGAAGAAGAAGCGACTTCACTTCCATCCGCGGCCGAGTCGAAAAGAAAACGAGCTGGAATACGTTCATTTCAATCAGTCGTCGCTCGCCTTTTTTTGGCCACCCTTCCATCAAACCTGCGTCACGATTTCGTCGACACACGACAAAGGAGGTGTTCGCGATTTATTTTTTTCGCTACCTTCGCCGTCGGATCGTTGCGCTTGCGTAGTGAAAGCCCAATAAAAGAAAGTTTTCCTGAGTGAAGAAACGAGATCCCGAGAATTGTTGGTTGGTTACTCATTGCGAGCGCGAACACATACTTGCGACCTTCGAGCAATCCGACCCGCAACACACCGCCTTCTTCGTCCATATTTGCTCGAGCAGCACCTCTGTAGGGGAGACATTCACTTGTTCATCTCCCGCAATTTGGTAGGTCCCCATCTCCTCTCATTTACATTTGCCGCACCCGCCTCAAATCCTTGCCACAATCATCCTGCCACATCTCAATGAGGCAAAGTTGGAATTACGACGCCACAGCAACAAGCGAACATCACGTGCACCCGTTATCCCTACATGCCAAAACAACATGACGTGTTGTGGTGTTCCTGGGTTTGGGCTTGCGCTATTATGGCTTTGGCTGCGTTTCCTTAAAACGGCACACCAACATGACCGCAAACCCCACCGATGTGGTTCAAGCCGCTAACCTCGCTGCAACAATGCCAGATCTGCTCAGCGCCCAAAGCCTTATAGCTTGGACTGCACCGTCTCGATCTATCGATTCCAACCATGGAGGGAATTCAGACGCACCCCTCAAACGCCGCGCAGGCCAAGGCGTTCACGGCCGCCGGCTCGTTGTCGTTCCCAGGGGCGACCAACGAGCTGACGCCGCCTGGAGGCAACGGGGACATGTCCCAGAAACCTGCTCCCAACGGTCAGCAGGCGGCAAACGGAAATGGGGTGACACCCGCGACTCCCGCAGCTACGCCTGCTGCCAACCAGGGCCCTAGTGGCATTACTCCTACTTTGCAGTATGTATCCTCCTGAGTGACATTAGTATTGCTCGGTGAGGCTTATCTGGTATTCTTCCACATCGGAAAAGGAACATCGTGGCTACGGTCAATCTGGATTGCCGCCTGGACCTCAAGACGATCGCCCTGCACGCAAGGAATGCCGAGTACAACCCAAAGGTACTGCAGCTTTGCCTTGGCCGCGTCGCAACATGAGTTGTGTCTTTTATTTTCCTGCTTGCTGACCAAATTAGCGTTTCGCTGCCGTCATCATGCGTATTCGTGAGCCCAAGACGACTGCCCTGATCTTCGCGTCGGGCAAGATGGTTGTGACTGGTGCCAAGTCCGAGGATGATTCGAAGCTCGCCTCGCGCAAGTACGCTCGTATCATTCAGAAGCTCGGCTTCAACGCCAAGTTTACCGATTTCAAGATCCAGAACATCGTCGGCTCCTGCGACATCAAGTTCCCCATCCGTCTCGAGGGTCTGGCATCTCGCCACCACAACTTCAGTTCTTACGAACCTGAGCTGTTCCCCGGTCTTATCTACCGCATGATCAAGCCCAAGATTGTGCTTCTAATCTTCGTCAGTGGCAAGATCGTCCTGACAGGCGCCAAGGTTCGCGAAGAAATCTACCAGGCTTTCGAAATGATTTACCCCGTGCTTCAAGGTATGTTCCGCCACTCCGTAAATCCTTTCTTCCACGGTTTGCTGACAATGGTTCCTTTCAGACTTCCGAAAGGTCTAGATGCACTGGGTATGGCCTGGGACGCATTCTGAACTTGTTTTTTCTTTCAGAAGCGCCAATCATCTTTCCCAAGTGTATGAATATATCGGCTCACGATACCACGAGTGCTTTTTCTTTTCTTTTCGTGTCGCGACAGAGGCTTGGGCCTGGTTTCAGCACCCGCAGTCAATGTCCTGGCCTGTACCATTTGTTTTTTTTTTCTGCATTGCATCGGCGTTGGTAAAGGGATGGTCAAAGGGGTGGGGAGCTGTTCTGCGCTGCGCGTTCGGTTTAAGGCAAAACAAGATTTTTTTTTTCCCACGACAAATTACATAGATTGACGGGTGGTCAATTCCATGGCAATAGGGTTGAACCAGACCCTGGCCTTGGAGAGGCCTTGCTTTTTAATGCCTCTCTCAAGCAGTGGGGGGAGAAGGCGGGTTGGATGGGAGCAAAGAACTCTTGAATTCAGGGAGTATGACTCCGGAACAAGATACCAAAAAAAAAATTCAAGAAAGAGAGAAACATGTGATTTGCGAGCGACTCTCAAGCGCAAGCGAACACAAAAAAAAAAAGAGGCAAGGGGTTCAACAGACCTCGGATTACAAAAAAAATGGGGATGGCAATGATTGCTCGTATCGCATCAAATGGCAAAGTCATAAAGTCGGCTTTTTTCTTTTCTTTTCAAAGTGAAAGCTTGGGAGAGCTGATTTTTATCCCTTTTGATAAAACGTCATAGCCGCTAGAATTATTAATGTCACACTCATCTTCCAGCCCATTCGTTCCTCTCTCTTTTTTTTCTTGTGCGTGACGGCAGTTTTGCGTTTTCGCATCTTTGATAGAAGAAAAGCCGGGTCAGTGCAAGACGGATGAGCGGTGGGCTTGTCAGTTCAAAGTGGATTGGGTTAGTGCGCCCTATTCGTAATGTGGTGAGCAAGTCCGATAATCGGCCGGCGATATCGATTCCACACACCAACGACCTTGCACGTGCGTGCGTGTGTGTGTGTGGTTCACTTTTTGGTTTCTGACTTACCAGGGTATATATACATATATATACACCAATTGCAAGAATAAATCACTCGAGGTCCGAGACAGAGAAGGAAAGAGAAATGGAAAAGACGCCGGAATCGATCCTCATTGTGGGATCGGGCCTGTTCGGGTTGAGCACGGCCTGGTCGCTCACCAAGCGACCCCGCTTCGATGAGACACGCATCACAGTGGTGGACAATGCCAGCGCCGGGGGCGGGCGATTCCCGCCCGAGGACAGCGCGAGCGTCGACGCCTCTCGCATCGTGAGGGCCGACTATGCCGACACACACTACTCGCGGCTCGGGGCGGAGGCGCAGGCGCTGTGGCGGCAGCAGGAGGATGGCGAGGTGGGCGGCCAGGGACGGTACACGGAGAACGGGTTCCTCATCATGGCGAGCGACATGACGACGTGGCCGCCGGCCGAGGTGGCTGCCGGCAAGAAGACGGGCATGGACTATGCGCGCACGAGCTGGGAGAACGTCAGTACGATAGCGAGCGAGGCGGGTCAGCCCGAGAAGATTGTCAAGCTGGGCAGCCGCCGCGAGCTGCAGGAGTACGTCGGCACTGATGGCAACCCGGGGGACTGGGGGTACTTGAACAAGCTGTCGGGCTGGTCGGATAACGGGGCCACCATGCGCTGGATGTACGAGCAGGTCCGGGCGACGGGGAGGGTGGAGTTTGTCGACGCCCAGGTGGCGGAGCTGGTGGCCGAGGGCCGCCGGGTGACGGGGGCCAAGCTGCGGGGTGATGGCAGGATCCTGACGGCCGACGTGGTGTTCGTGGCCGCAGGCGCGTGGACGGGGTCGCTCATCGACATGAGGGGTCGTGCTGAGGCGACGGGCCAGATCCTGGGCTACATCGACATATCCAAGGAGGAGGAGGAGCGGTTGCGCGACAACCCTACCATCATGAACCTCACTACGGGCATGTTTATCTTGCCGCCGCGCAACGGCATGCTGAAGGTGGCACGTCACGGATTCGGCTACCTCAACCCGCGAACCGTCACAAGGGCACTGCCGCCCGTCGCCTCCGCGTCGGACGAGCGCCCGGCCATCGTCACCTCGGTCCCCAGGACGACGCGCGACGGCGAACTCAAGTCCATGCCCGTCGAGGCCGCCAAGGGTCTCAGGCAGGCGCTCGTCGATCTCTTGCCACGTGACATGGGAATGGAGACGAGGCCGTGGTGCAAGACGCGCCTATGCTGGTACTCGGACACCCGTGACGCGGACTGGATCGTCGACTGGCACCCCGGGTACGACGGACTGTTTGTCGCCACGGGTGATAGTGGCCATGGCTTCAAGTTCTTGCCTGTCATCGGCGACAAGCTGACGGATGTGTTCGAGGGCAAGGGCGGACCGTTTGCCGAAAAATGGAGCTGGAAGGAGATCGAGGATGATGGCGCCGGAAAGGTGATTGATGGAGTATATAAGGGTATCATTACCGAGGATGGGAGCAGGGGAGGGCGTCGGGGGATGATTCTGGATGAGGAGTTGGCGCGTAAGGGTGAAGGGGTCGCGGCGAAGCTGTAGGGTAGGACCTTTATCGTGGTTTAGAGAAGATAGAAATAAAGGTCGTTGGATAAATGTCAGGAGAATGTTAGGAGGAAGTAAAAGGTGTATACGGAAAAGAAGATCCGCAGATGATGAGAGAAAATGTCTGTGATGTAAAGACAATTATAAGTGTAAGTGAATGGGTGCATGCATTTAGAGGGGTGGGGCAGCCTATCGAGTTGGTCGTACTTTAGCCGCACTCACTTGGTGGTAGTCAGCAGTACTTTCCCTTGTTATCCATTGTTACGCTACACCACAACACCCAAACACATGATAACAAACATGTCACGATCCTGACAAGGAGAAAAACATATCACACAAGATGCCATTCGAAAAGGATCTCACCGAATTTCCCGACGTCCAGGCAAAACTACAGAAACCAACCAAACAATCTGCCTTTGAGAAGCAAAAAGCCGAGGCCGAGGCCAAGCGTAAGCGCGAAGCCGCCGAGACAGCCGCCGTCTACAAAGATTTTCTCAAGAGCTTCGACGACGACGACGACAACGATGGCAATAACAACCGAACCGCAGCGAGGCACATTGCTGGCAACAGCGGCGGCATCCCCCCGCCACCCCGCCAACGACCCGGCAGCGGTAACGGTGGCCTCATACCGCCACCTCCTACAGGACCGGGAGGATCGAGGCGTCACTTTGGCGCGTCGGGATCGAGGAATGGCCCGGGAAGTTTGGGACCGCCGCCGATGGGGTTCGGCAAGAAGAGGTCCTTCCAGGACTTTTCACGTCCCCCCGACGATTCCTCGGCTCGCGAGGGGCCCAGCGTAGGCGCCTCATCGCTCTCGGTCCCCAGAGCTTTCCGCACGAGCGACGACGAGGATGAGGATATGGGAAATGCTGGCAGCACGGCGGACCGGGATAGGGCAGCGGAGAAGGCTATATCGAGGCCGACGCTGCGGCTGACTAACCTTCCACCCGGCTTGTCGGCGTCGGCCATCAAGGCCCTGATCCCGGATAACCTTATGGTGGAGCAGGTGAAGTTCCAGGCGCCTGCCGGGCTGGGAGGGTCGGAGAAGAAGTGCGCCGCCGCCATCGTCGTCTTGTCGCAGGATACTCCAGCCAACGAGATCGAGGCGGCCGTCAGCGCTCTGCAGAACAGGTACCTGGGCTACGGGCACTATCTCTCCCTGCACCGGCACCTGTCATCTGCGGTGGCAACCTCGTCTGCCGCGCTGAACAGCCTTGCCGCGTCAAACGCCGACACGCAGCCGTTTGGCGCCAAGCCGGTGGAGCAGAAGCGTCAGGACCACAACTCGGACAGGCGCGGCGGCCACCATCAGCATCGCGGCGGCTTCGCACCGCCCCCGAGCTACAGCAGCGTGGGTGCGGGTGCGGGTGCGGGCGTCAACCGCTCCAACCTGCTCCACGTGCCCGTCAGGCCGCCGGCCGACATCAAGACCACGAAGCTCATCAACATGGTCATAGAGGGCGTCCTGGCCAACGGGCCCGAGTTCGAGGCGCTACTCATGTCGCGGCCCGAGGTGCAGCGCGAGGAGAAGTGGGCGTGGATATGGGACGCGCGCAGCCAGGGAGGCACGTGGTACCGCTGGCGGCTGTGGGAGGTGGTGACCGGTGCGCAGAACGGCAAGCTACGGGGCAAGTACGTGCCTATATTCGACGGCAGCCACGCGTGGAAGGCCCCCGACAAGAAGCTCCCGTTCGAGTACACGACTAGACTGGACGATTTCATCTCCGACTCGGACTACAACTCTTCAGATGACGAGGACGTCGAAGGCGGCGGCGGAGACGGCGAGGCCGGCGGCGGTAACGAGGATGAAAAGACCTTCCTCAACCCCCTGGAGAAGGCTAAGCTCACGCATCTCTTGGCGCGACTGCCGACGACGCTATCCAAGCTACGGAAGGGTGACATTGCACGGGTGTCGACGTTTGCCATCATGCATGCCAGTCGCGGGGTGGAGGAGGTGGCGGACATGATCGTGGCAAACGTCGAGAGACCGTTTGCGCTGACGGCGGCCAACCCCCAGCGGAAGTCGGAAGCTAGAGAAGCTGCTCCCGGCGGGGGCGCCGAGGACGGCGGCGGGGGCGGCGGCAGCAGCAGCAACAACGAAGCACCGGACGTAAGTTCAGCGAGTCTGGTGGGCCTGTACGTGATCAGCGACATCTTGTCATCGTCGTCGACGAGCGGCGTCCGTCACGCCTGGCGGTTCCGACAGCTATTCGAGTCGACACTGCGCAACCGCAGAGTGTTTGAGCACCTGGGGTCCATGGCCGAGAAGCTACGATGGGGCAGGCTGCGCGCCGAGAAGTGGAAGCGCAGCGTGAACCTGGTCCTCAACCTGTGGGAGGGGTGGTGCGTCTTTCCCAACGAGAGCCAGCAGCTGTTTGCGCGCAGCTTTGAGAATCCGCCGTCGGTTGGCAAGACCGAGGACGGCAGTGCCGGCACCGGCAGGACGGCCGACGAGTCTCAGAAGAAGGGCAGCAAGTGGAAGGTGGTTGAGGCTACGCAGCACCAGGCCGAGGCGGCGGCAGTTCAAGACAGGGGCGAACCTATCGACGAGGACGATGTGGCTGGCGAGCCCATCGACGAGGACGACGTCGAGGGAGAACCTATAGACGATGACGTCGAGGGAGAGCCTATAGACGAGGACGAGCTCGATGGGGGGGACCTTATGGACGAGGACCAGAAGGCGCCCACGAGTGAGACACCAGGGGACCACCAGGGTCAGGATGATGCGGCAGTAGCCGCGGCCTCGACGGCGGAAGCAACAAGAGGAGGACGAGAAGAGGATACGAGTGGAATGACAGACGAGAACGGGGCAGCAAAGGGTCCTCCCGTGCGGAAGCCAAGGATGCGTGCGGCCGACATGTTTCCCGACTCGGACGCATCTGATGGATCACAAGGGGGAAAGTGAGAGGGATAAAAAGAATACGTGGTGCGTACGAGTACGAGTACGTGGTAAATGTCATTACAGAGAAGATGATACTGCTACTACTACTACTACTGCTGCTATTACTACTACTACTGCTGCTGCTGCTACTACTACTACTACTGCTGCTATTACTACTACTACTGCTGCT